AGGGGGTTGGGCTGGGTGACCCACAGAGGGCCCTGCCAACCCCGACCATTCTGTGACTCTGTGAACAGAAAGCAGGTAGTTCTGCAGCAAAAAGTGTTTCATACATGGGCCAGTTGTCCGTGCTTGCGTGCAAGCATGTTCTATATTCTATTTATGAAAGAGAAATGGAAAAGTCGACCCCGGTTCGGTGAATGCCACCGACATGGACCTTGGCTCCGCGCCGCAGCAGCAGCAGCACTGGTGGGAAATGTTCCTTTCTCAGGCGCACGTCGGGCTCATTTACATACGGGGCAGATGTCGTTCCGTCACCTTCTCGGCTCTCCGCAGCCGCGGTGCGGGCGGGAGGTTTCTGAAGGGCTTTCCTGGGAAGGCCAGGGGAGCGTCAAACCCGCGAGCGCTGCGCGAGGCGAGAGCATCTCTCAGCGAGCCGGGATGCAGGCACGGCGCTTGCCGGAGCATCTCTGCGCTGGCCACACGCTCGGGCACAGGGAGACCAAGGCAACCGGAGGCAAAGGGAGCTTCGGATGGGAAAGGTGGAGCTGGGAAAGAGGCAGCAGCAGAAACCCGGCCGCAAGTTAAATGTGTCCCGCGATCGGGGGCGACGGGTGCTTTCCTGTACCTTCTGCTTCCTAAGCCCCGTCTTGCCCCACGGCGTTCTAACCACACCTTTCTGTCTTTCAGCTGCGGGGCCATGCCGGCTGTCAGACTCCCGCGTTGAGAGCAGTGGCTGAAATGCCACCCAAGAGGTGACCAAGGGGCAGCTCCGGCGACGAAGTGTCGGCTGCTTTGGCACGTGACGATGCATTTCTCGGTGTGGATCCCCTCCCAAGCAACCAGAGTCAGGTCAGGTAACTTCTGACGAAGAGCATGAGCAAAACGCAAGGAGTGGGACTTTAATTAACTCGCTCACCCCATAACGAAGCTCCTCCCCAGAGCGGACACGATGACCTGGTGACGGAAGCCTCGCACACGGATGCCAAGGCTGAACTTCTCTGTTTCAGCGCCGACAACCTGAGGACAGCCGGGCTGCAGGAACATGTTACCATGCCGGGGTTGAGCACGCATCTGGAGCACAACCATGACGAACAGCTCGACCTGCACCGAAACAGACCTCAAGCCCTACTACGCCATTACGTACACCTTCATCCTGATCCCTGGACTAATAGGAAACACGTTAGCTTTGTGGGTCTTCTACGGGTACATGAAAGAGACTAAAAGGGCCGTAATATTTATGATCAATTTAGCCATTGCCGACTTGTCGCAGGTTTTGTCCTTGCCCCTGAGGATTTTCTACTACTTGACCGGGACGTGGGAATTTGGAGGAGGCCTCTGCATGCTCTGCTTCTACCTGAAGTACGTCAATATGTACGCAAGCATCTACTTCTTGGTCTGCATCAGCGTAAGACGGTATTTGTTTCTTATGTACCCATTCAAATTCAACGACTGCAAGCGCATCTGTGATGTGTATATCAGCATCGTTGGGTGGGTCGTGGTCTGCGTCGGCTGTTTGCCCTTCCCACTGCTCAGACTTCACCAGGATACCAAAAACACGTGTTTTGTGGATCTCCCCGTAAAGGACGTGGAGCTCCCCACCTCCATCGCAATGATGACGATCGGCGAATTGGTGGGGTTCGTCACACCCCTACTCATCATCCTATACTGCTCGTGGAAGACTATCTTATCACTAAAAGAAAAAAATTCCGCTTCACATGACCTCGGAGAGAAAAAAAAGGCCTTAAAGATGATTCTCACCTGCGCTCTGGTATTTCTGATTTGCTTTGCACCTTACCACATCAGCTTTCCGCTAGATTTCTTTGTCAAAACCAAAAAGATTAAAAACGGGTGCGTCCAAAAGGTGATTTCAGTGTTCCACGTCGTCGCTCTGTGCCTTGCCAGCTTGAACTCCTGCGTGGACCCGGTCATCTACTACTTCACTACAGACGAGTTCAGGAGACGCCTTTCCAGGCAGGATCTGCAAGACAGCATCCAGCTCCACAGCCTCAGTTACGCGAGGAAGCACTCCAGAGACGTGCTCAGCCAGAACGCCATGGACTGCTAGCGCTGGCCTTCCTCAGACAGTCGCCAGGACTTCAGACGTTCACTCTATTTTGCGGTTTGGCCCATTTTTTATTTTCCCCCCAGAAGGCTGCGAGTGATGACTCGGAGAAGCTTCTGCTGATTTCAGTGAGAGCTGGAGAAAAACAAACAAAATTCCCCCCAAAACTCTAACCTGAACAAAAATATGTTGATTTAATACTTTGGTTGCAATTTTTCTCTGTATATAAATGACACGGTGCAATTCCCACCAGCCCGATTTCTGAGCTGGGCAGCCGGGAGCACGGTGGCTTTGGCAGCAGGAGGAGGACGTGGACCTGCGGCAAGAGGCGATGCCGTGCCCCGCTGTCACTGGTGGGGCCATTGCCTGGCCGTGTCCTGCTCACGCACCCCGGCTTCAACAAGAGGCAGCAAAGACTTCGGGGTCTTACCACGCAGAAAGAATTTTATCCTAAAAACGAGTAGGTGAAACAGAATTACATATTTCTGAAGCAAAGACAATCCAGTAGTGACTAATTCCTATGGCGAGTGCCAAAAGCCTGCCTCAAGCCACGCTGACCATGGAACACGGAGCGCGAGGTGGCCCCAAAGGACATGCCATCTAAACAATTACCCAAGCCTCCATTTTGGGGCGTAGCAGATGACATCCCCCCAAAACACCAAGCCAACCGAAGCGCCCCGACACTGTTTTTCTCCCATCGGTTCCCACCGCGGCTGGAAAGCCATCCAGTTTGAAGCCGTCTCGCTGCCTTGGGTAAGCTTGAACCGCGGGGCTGTGCTTCGAGGGTATTCACTCGGGCTAGACGTCCGTCAAGCCTTTCAGGTCCTCTTTTCACCAAAAATACGGCAAATTATTCCCTTTTCACTGACAACGGACCCTGTGCCATCGCACCTACTCTTCGTTAGCAGCAGCGTGATTAAAGCACAATTAGCGGAGCCAAACCTGTCTGAAGTTTATGGTAACGGGAGCTCGTGAGGAGCAGAGCCAACAATGCCACCCACCTGGTGACGAGAGATTTCTACGCAAGGCTCACATGTGGATGCAATCTTAATAATAGTTTCTTTAAAATCAAACAACCGAAACTTTGGGTTTGACTGGTATTTCGTTTGCACCTTCTTGTAAAATTTATTTTTCTGTGAACGTTTGAAATGTTACATTTTGAAATGGAAAAATACTGTGACGGTATTAGATTTTATTTAATGCAAGTGTTGTTTTATAGATTTTAATTTATGAAAAAAATATATGTTTTGTAGAAAAAATGATGTGAATCCCAGAGTGTGCTGGAAGACAAAAAGACTTTTTCTTCTGGAAAAACCCTTCTACATAATAAAACAAAACTCCCCCACCTCCCCCCTGCAGGAGTCTGAGCCAGCGTGTCTGTGCCCGAGCGCGTCGGCTGAGTACGCCCCGCTAATTCACAGAAACCACGCAGCACGTTGCAATTTGTTCACAGCAATGAAAAAAGTATTTATTTTTTTTTATTTCCTGTGGCATATGCTAAAAAAAAAAATATAGTTTTTTTTTTTTTTAAAGTATTCCCAGCTGATGTCTGGGAAGTTGAAATCTCCCATAAGGACCAGGGCTACCAATCCAGAGATTTCTCCTAGATGACTATAGAATCACAGAATCACAGAATAGTAGGGGTTGGAAGGGACCTCTGTGGGTCATCTAGTCCAACCCCCCTGCTGAAGCAGGGTCACCTACAGTAGGCTGCACAGGATCTTGTCCAGGCGGGTCTTGAATATTTCCAGAGAAGGAGACTCCACAACCTCCCTGGGCAGCCTGTTCCAGTGCTCCGTCACCCTCAGAGGGAAGAAGTTCTTCCTCATGTTCAGACGGAACTTCCTGTGCCTCAGTTTGTGCCCGTTGCCCCTTGTCCTGTCACTGGGCACCACTGAAAAGAGCTTGGCCCCATCCTCCTGACACCCACCCTGCAGATATTTGTAGGCATTTCTAAGGTCCCCTCTCAGCCTTCTCCAGGCTGAACAAGCCCAGTTCCCTCAACCTCTCCTCGTAGGGGTTCCCATGGCTGATGACCAGCCCGTCGCCGTCCTTTGGCCACCGTCCCCTGTCCCCAGCTGTGTGGGAGGGGAGCAGGATGGCCCCACACAACCCCCCTAGAGCTACTTTTAGCTTCTGAAAGGAAAAGATGCTACACAAAGTGGTGCCAGAAGTTCAGAAATTGTTCAGTGAGAAAAACCTCCATTAGCATAAGGTTTCCCACCTAGAAAATCCGGCGGGTGCCCCACGAGCC